TCAAGGCGGCGACGAAGGCAGTAACGAAAGCCAAAACAGATTCCTGGGAAAAGTTCGGTGATGTGTTTGGGTCTAATTCCCAGACGACAAACAAGGTAATGTGGCAGACCATCCGCCGGTTCCACCATGAACAGATGGACAGTCCGAGAGTCTTGAAAGGCAGGTGTTGACTTATTTACCAAGTATAAGGACTTTGTTCGGCAATGGAGAAGGCATTTTGAGGAACTCTTTAACCCCAAACAGTCGCAAGAAGACTGGTCGGTAGTGCAGCAGAAAAAGTGTTACCATTTCTGTAGATGAAATCATACAAGGCTTGAAAAGCATGAAAAGTGGAAGGGTTGGGGAAATCGATGAAACCCGCTCTGAAATACCCAAAGCAATAGGCGAACAAGGCATATTTTGGCTTACACGTGTCTGTGGAACTGTAGTGGCTACGGGGAAGACACCAGCGGACTAGAAAACGGGAGTTATTGTACTCCTGATCAAGATGAGAGACCACAAGAAGTGCTCCCACTATCTAAACATTACCTTATTGAACCTCCCGGGTAAAGTCTAGGCGAAAGAGTTAGAGAGGAAGTACCGCAAAATATCTGACTGCGCGATACGAGAAGCGCAAAGTGATTTCCGGCCCAGCTGAAGCACATTTGACCAGGTATTCGCCTTGCTCCAGATTATCGAAAAGTCGTGGGGTAGTTCGTCCGTCCGGTGTGCATGTGCTTTGCTGACCTAAAGTAAGCCTGTAACCAAATCCTGCGGAACAGTCTACGGAGATAGCTGCGGACGTACGGGACCGATAGCCAGTTGCTACGGGCCATTTAATCACTATATGCTGATAGCGGGCGCTGCATCAAAGTAAATGAAGTTAAATCTAAATCTTTCAGCGTCGTCATTGGTCTCTGCTAAAGCTGTGTTCTGTCCCTTCTCCTGTTTCAGTTGAACATGGACAGAATAGTCAGGATCAGCCAAGGCGGGGAGTGCATCGGTGTAGGAGATGTGAAATCGAGAACGTTGCTGTTTGCAGACGACCTTGTTTTATTAGAATCTTCTGAAACTGACCTATAGCACTCTTTGGAAAGGTTCGCACCCGAGTACTTTGAGCTACTCCTTAACTGGAGCAATCGCAGGAAGACCCACCTATAGAGTTGCAGGAAACGGATATTAGTATCTCTGTAGATAAAATTACACAAGCTATGAAAAGATTGAATAGTGGAATGGCTGCTGGAATTGATGTAATCCGCCCTGAGAAATTCAAGGCATTAGGCAAACAAGGCATGTGCTGGCTAACACGTGTTTGTCAAACTGCGATGATTGCGGGAAAGACACCAGCGGACTGGAGAACGGGAGTTATTGTACCCGTATTCAAGAAGGGAAACCACAGGGAATGCTCCAATTACAGGGGCATTACGTTATTGAGCCTCCCAGATAAAGCCAACGCAAAAGCGCAAGGAAGGAGGTGCCGCGAAATAACTGATTCCAAGACACAAGAAGTACAGTTTGGCTTCCGGTCCGGTCGAAGCACCTCTGGCCATATATTTACGCTGCGTCAGATTGTTGAGAAATCGTCGGAGTACGCCGGTCCGTTGCACATGTATTTTGTTGACCTTAAAATATTCTATTACCGGATTCCACGCAACAGCCTGCGGTCATGCCTTCGATCATACGGGATAGATGGCCAGCTGTTAAGGACCATTATATCACTGTATTCTGATAGCAGGTGCTGCGCTAGAGTAAATGGCGTTAAGCCAAAACCATTCAACGCTGGTAGGGGTCTCTGCCAAGGCTGCGTTCCGCCCACTCTCGTGTTTGTGTTGTACATGGATTGAATGGTCAGGAGCAGCCAAGGTGGGGAGTGCATCAGTGTAGGAGGTGTGGAGACGAGGTTGCTGTTTGCAGACGACCTTGCTTTATTAGAATTTTCTGAAACTGATCTACAGCTCTCTGGAAAGATTCGCTACAGTGTGCGGCGTGGCCGGCATGCGTGGGACGAAAAGCCTTGTGTCTCATTTTTTCCTACCCGTTTCTCCGTTCGGGTTTTCGGAGTAGCAGTGAAGCAGGTGGAGAAGTTCAAATTCCTCGGGTCGTGTTTACTGCTGATGGAAAAGTGGAGGAGGCTTCAGGAGGAGACGACCGGTGGATTGGAGTGGCGAGTTGTGTTCTGCGTTAACTATTCCGAACCACTTGACTAAAGCAGAACTGAGTCTGAAAATTAAGGTCTCGGTACTCAAGTAGATCTTCATCGCCATGCCTATCATGATCTTCATCTACCATGCCTCACCTGTCGTTCATGAGTCATCGACTATGACTGGAAGGCTTCAATTGGTGGTACAAGCGGCTGAAATGGGCTTTATGAGACGAGTCACTGACTTTACGCGTTTCGACATGATCTGGAATACAGACAACTGCGGGAGCCTAGATGTACAACCGCTGCTTTCTCAGATTGAAAGTCACAGCTGCGATCGTGTGAGCATGTGTTGCTAGTGCCTCCAGAAAGAAAGGCGAATGAACCATTACATGCTCAGCTGATCGGCAAAGGGCCCACTAACGGCCAAGATTAGCCTGTTGCAAATATATGGAAGTACCTTACTTTAGACTCCGGTTGTCTTCTGCCGAAACTTAGACTCTGC